TTCAAACATTGAGTTCTTGGGTGAAAGCTTGAACATCCCAATCACCAGCGACCGGTGGTAGGTATATCTGTTCCATTTGGAATCGAGACACGAATTCTCTGAGCATTTCGTTGTCCTTCTGCCTTACCTCGAAAAGGTCTGGCTTCCTGGTTTCAACCTTGATGACCTCAGCATGTGCCTTTACGAAATAATCTACAAGCATAGCAAACGAGTCAATAGAATTAGGTGGTAAATTGTGGTACCATATCATAGCTCTCTTTGACAGGGTCTCTCCGAATTTATTTAGCAAGACAGATTCGATCTCGTCATCCTTTAGATCATTCCTTTTGATAACACATGTGTAAGAGGTGACGTGCTCGTTCAGATCGGTCATTCCATTGTATTTAGGAATCCCGGCATGCGTAACTTCTTGGGAATCGACTTGGGAGCCGCGCTCGAGGGGAAAGGTTTTTGCACGAACTTTTGGAGTCCAGAGCCTTCAATATCGATGGTGCCCTCGGGATTTGATCGACCCTAGAGTTGTAAATTTCCACCTTCTTGTCATTTGCCTTGATCTTCTTTTCCCCCAACTCAATTCATTTTGTTAGCTCTTCGAGAATCTTCATTATTGAAGGATTGGTCTCCGATTCTTTTTCGTCCGATTTCCTTGAAACCAATTTGACCCTGTAGATGAATTCCTAGGACGGCTCAAGCTTGATTCTACTCGGTGGGTGATTCTGGTTTTGGAGCTGGGCTATCGCTGCCTGTTGAGCCTGCAACATTTCGAAGATCACCCACGGAAGCTACCCTCGAGATCGATAGCCAAATTTGCGTTGATGGCTACATGTGAACTGACATCGATTGGATCTACAGCTAGAACTCCATCGAGACCAATCGGGGTACGTCATTCCTTGTTGTCCATTTAACCTTTTAACTAGTGTATGCTAAGTAGTGGCAATAAGAATCTGAACTTTCTGAAATTGGAACCAGAACTTGAATAGGCTAGTCTCCGAAAATGCCCCGCTCGTAAGTTCCTTTGTCATTGGAGAAAAAAAGATCTCGTTAGCGTTTTTTTATTTTTGAAAAAAGGTGTTATTTCTATAAAGAAGATTGAGTAAAAAAATATTGAATTGACTTCAATCGAGATTGCCTCGGCTTCTTAGGCACATGAAGAAGCACCATGGTGGCCGAAATCATTGTCAACGTGTAGGGGTGCTGACTGAGAGTTTGACATTTTGGTCCTGGAATCAAAGATACTCCAAATAATAATTGTAAAATAGTGTGTGTTATGAAAGTTTATACTAGGTAATCACTATTATCCTTAGTCTCACGGTGAGCGCCAAACTGTTTACCCTTAAAATTGGATAACAATTGAATTTGTACGCAGTTTTAAGGATACGTGATATAACTTGATACAAATTAAGAAGAAAAAGTAATATTGAAATTAACGATAAGAAAATAAATGCAAACCACACAAATTGAACAACCCTAGCCTCTGAGTTTGATCACCCTCGAGCCAAGAAGCGTCTCAACTAATGTTAGAACTGAACAACAAGATGATAAGAATTAGAAATGATCAGTATAATTGCTTTCTTTGTGCGTGTTACCATGTCATACAAATGATCAGGACCCCCTCCCCCAATATAGTAGGGATGTTCTACTCTTGGTACAATTCTATGCAAGTTAAAAAAATCTTATGATTTGTTAATTAATCGGCCTCTTCTTGATACGTGTTGACATTTCCGCCATGATCTTCGACCGATTGCGGATATTTCAACTTTTCATTATTTGGCTTGGCAAGTTTCCCTCGATCTTGTTCGGTCTCTGGGTCACGAGCTCGACGATCTAATTATGCGCGTTGGTTCGATATAACCTGAGCTCGATCTTTGACCTGCCATGTTTCAGCCTCGATTGGTCACTCAATGGACGAACCCGATTTCGACCGCATACAAGCAAATAAATCATTTGAGTTTAGGTTACACCAGAAGATGGCCGTTAAAAAATTTACTTTTAATTAAAAGTTTAAATTAAAATGAGTTTCTATTGGACAGTTGTAGCTTTTGAATGTTTTGGGCAATAATTGAAGATTCACTCGCTATACACTTACAAACGACTTGAGAAAATGAGCTTGATTTTATTTTGTTTGGGGAGACAAATTTTACTTGAAAACACAAACAAATTTCTGCAAATGACTAAAAAAATCCACAAACAAACGCCTGTCATGAAGAAAACATAGAGTTCAAAATACAAGAATTTAACCATTCAGTTTTAGATTTCAAGAACAGATTTGTGTTCACAATTAAAAAATTGTGATCAAATTGAAAACCATGACACTCCAAATTAAGTACAGTACCAGATTATATCATTTTCTAGGTAACCCAACTCAGTTCATTTTTATGAAGCTAAAAACAGAGAAAACAACATAAATAAACTCAAGAAGAGGCAACACGACTGAATGTCACTGACCAGCTAAGAAGAAAAATTAAATTTTAGGAGTAATTAAGAAAACACGGTTAGAATAACCAGTAATAATATAATAATAAAAGGAAGAAGAGAACCGAGATACCTGCAACTTAGGATGAACAGTGACTGACGCGCAGCTGTGAAAATGAAACAATGCTGCTTATTTATAAATGGGCCACACATTTTCTTTGGGCGGACAAATCTACGGGCCATTTTCTCATTATTATTGGGTTGGGTCAGGTCAGGTCACTCCAGGTCATTACCCCTTTACTGGCTTTTTTAACGTGTTAATCGTTTTCATTTTTTTTTAATTCAAATTCTTTCAAGTTATATACAAGTATACAACAATAACATACCTAGTATTATCTCATACCGTAGGGTCTGGAGAGGGTAGTGTGTACGCAAACCTTACCCCTACCTTGTGAGGATATAGAGACTGCTTCCAATAGACCCTCGGCTCAGGAAAACATGAGCACCGCATTAATGAAAAACAATAGAAAAGAAGGGACAGTACCAAAAACCCATATAAAAGCAGAATAAAAACAATAAGATAGTAAGGTCATCAACAATGAAAGAAAACAACGGTTACTCATAAAAACCTACTACCAACAGAAACGAGACTGCGTGTTAAAACTACTGTTATGAACACTCTAGACTATCTAATCTACTACCCTAATCCTCGGTCTCCATACCTTCTTATCAAGGGTCATGTCCCTAGTCAATTGAAGCTGCGTCATGTCTTGCATAATTACCTTTCACCACCTCTTTTTTGGCCTACCTCTACCTCTCCGTAGGCCCTCCAATGTCAACCTCTCACACCTCCTCATCGAGGTGTCTCTGATCCTCCTCATCACATGACCAAACCACTTAAGACACGCTTCCTGCATCTTGTCCTCAATAAAGGCCACACCCACCTTGTCGTGAATAACCTTATTTCTGATTCTATCTACCCCTGGTGTGCCCGCACATCCATCTCAACATCCTCATCTCTGCTACCTTCATCTTCTGGACATGAATAATCTTGAGTGGCCAGCACTTATCCCCATACAACATCATTTGTCTGACTATCACTATGTATAACTTACCTTTAAGTTTTGATGGCGCCTTCTTGTGACACAGAACACCGAAAGCGAGTCTCCATTTTATCCACTCCCCCCTCCCAATACGATGTGTGACATCTTCATAAATCTCCCTATCCCCCTGAATAATAGTCTCAAGGTACTTAAAACTTCATTTCCTAGGGATGACCTGTGAGTCCAGCCTCACCTCCACTTCCCCTCCTTAAGTCTCGCCACTGAACTTACGCTCCAAATATTCTGTCTTGGTCCTGTTCAACTTGAAACCTTTAGACTCCAGGGTCTTCCTCCATACTTTTAATTGTGCATTGACACCGCCTCGCATCTCGTCAGTCAATACAATATTATCTGCAAATAGCATGCACCACAGCACCTCCCCTTGGATGTGGTGTGTCAGTACGTCCATCGCAGAACAAACAAAAAAGGGCGGAGTGCCGACTCCTGATACAACCCCATCATCACCAGAAAATGGTTCGAGTCCCCACCCACCAGCCTCACCCGGATCTTTGCTCCATCATATATGTCCTTAATCAACCTAATGTAGGCAATATGTACATCTCTAGCCTCTAAAAATCTCAACAAAATCTCCCTCGGAACTTTAGCGTACGCCTTTTTAAGTCGATGAACACCATATGCAAGTCTTTCTTTCTCTCCATATACTGCTCCATCAATCTCCTAACAAGGTGGATGGCTTCTGCAGTCGAACGTCCGACATAAACCCGAACTGGTGCTCGGAAATAGACACACTACTCCTCACTCTTAGTTGTACCACTCTCTCCCAGACTTTCATAGTATGGCTAAGCAGCTTGATACCCTGATAGTTATTGCAATTTTGGATATCACCTTTGTTCTTGTATACAGGAACCATCGTGCTCCACCTCCACCATTCAGTCATCTTATTCATTCTAAAAATGATATTAAATAACCTAGTGAGCCACTCCAAGCCTATCTTGCCCACACTATTTCAAAACTCCATCGGGATTTCATCCGGACCGATCATTTTGCCCCTGCTCATCTTACGCATAGCCCCCTCAACTTCATCAACACTAATCCAACTATAATTCCCAAGTCACAATGACTCCTGGAGAGTTCCAAATCACTAAGTACAATGCTTTCGTCCCCCTTCTCGTTCAAGAAACTATAGAAATAGGTCTACCATCTCCGACGGATAAGCCCCTCTTACAACAAACCTCTACCTTCTTCGTCCTCGATACACTTCACTTGATCCAAGTCACGTGCCTTCCTTTCTTGCACCTCGGCTAACCTGAACAATCTCTAATCCCCACCTCGGCCCTTGAGTTCCTCATACAAACGATTAAAAGATGTAGTCTTGGCCGCCGTAACTGCTAGCTTTGCCTCTTTCTTAGCCAACTTATAATGCTCCCTATTCGCCCTCTTCTCCTCCTCGTTTACACTTTCCACTAGCTTCAGATACGTTGCTTTCTTGGTTTACACTTTTCCTTTTACCTCTCCATTCCACCATCAGTCTCCCTTGTGACCACTAGAGTTACCCTTTGAGACCCCTAACACCTCTCTCGCGGCTTCCCTAATGCACTGCGCAGTCGAGGTCCACATAGCGCTTGCATCCCTACTTCTTCTCCAAACCCCCATAGTCAACAACTTGACCCCCAACTCCTGCGCTTTAGCTTCCATCAAGGCTCCCCATTTGATCCTATGTTGGCTATACATCGCCCTCCCCCTCCTCTTCCTCGTGATCTCAAGGTCCATGACTAGGAGCCTATGAAGGGTTGAGAGGTTCTCACTCGGTATGACCTTGCAATTCGTGCAAAGACATCTATTAGACTTCATGCAGAGTAAATAATCAATCTGAGTCTCGGCCACTGAACTCCGAAAGGTGACCAAGTGCTCACCCTTCTTCGGGAAACTCGAGTTTTCTATCACCATATCAAATGATCTAGCAAAGTCCAGCAGAGACGTTCCTCCTTCGTTTCTATCTCCAAAACCAAAGCCACCATTCACATCATCATACCCCCTAGACGTCGCTCCAATGTGGCCGTTGAAATCTCCTCCTATGAAAATCTTCTCGGTATGCGGGATACCACGCACCATCTCATCCAAATCCTCCCAGAAACGCCTCTTGACTTCTTCATCCAAGCCTGCTTGGGATGTGTACGCACTGATTAGTTCAAAGTAAAACCTCCAACAACTAGCTTAATAGTCATCAGCCTGTCATTCACCTTCCTAACCTTCGCCACTAGTTCACAAAGGTTAATATCAACCAAGATACCTACCCCGTTCCTGCCCCCACCTTCCTAGAATACCATAGTTTGAACCTGTCCACATCCCGCGCCTTATCTCCTAGCCACCTAGTCTCCTGTACACAAGCTATATTAATCCTCCTTTTCTCGAGAATCTTCGCTAACTCCACAGTTTTTCTAGTCAAAGTTCCTATGTTCCAAGACCCCACTCTCATCCTAGTAGCTCCCTTAGCCCTTATCCCCCCTCCCGTGCTGACACTCACGAGGACAAGGCCTTACCCTATCATCGTTTACCAAAGCCACTATAATTTAGGAGTGACTACGCAGGCACTATCCCAGAAACAAGCGACAAAAATAAAATGAATTATCGAAATATAATCTATCACTAAAGGTCGCAAAACAGGTGAAGAAAAAGAATATGATAAATGTAAATATTGTAAATATAAAAACTAAAATTCTCGACAAGAAAAAGTCAAAACAAATCTCAAAGTTTATTACTCCTTCCTTCTGTCCAAGTTAATGTAATGCATTTTCTTTTTTAGTTTGTCCCGAAAAAAATAATAGTTTTTTGTATTTAAAAATAATTTTTTTCTTTTACCCTTAAAATAATTTATAGCTGCATAAATATCTATAACATGTTGTAGACCCCGCGTTTCAAAGGTATTTTTTTCCTTCTTATACTCCAACTTTCGTCAAACTACAACAACAAAAAACTCAGTAAAATTTCACGAATAAGATATGAAGAGGGTAGTGTGTACGTCAATCTTACCCCTACCGTATGAGGACAGAAAAGGAGGGAATCTAGCTTTCATTAAGTTTGTGCTTTGATATTTTAAACTTACGGAACAGATTAGGGAAATAGGAATTGAAAAATCAAGATATCAAATTACAACATTAAAGTATTTCAAATTTATAATTGTTCTATTTACTTATGTCATTAAGCATCACTCATGGCAGTGCAAATTAAACAGCTTCAGAGCACCTAGTTGAACGAATTAACTAATCTATGACAGCATGAAGAAGAAAAAATTTCAGAGCACCGTCATAGATGAAAACAAAAAGGTTCAGATTAGCAAGTCTACTAGATTTGACCTGCTCCATACTTTTTTTTTTCTTTTTTTCTGTTTCTTCACATTTTTAGTCAAAATGGTCAGCCAAGTGTTATAAATCATTGATTTTTCTTGTATTTTGAAGTGAAATAATCGTCCCTGATTCTCATGTTTCTTTTCGCAGTTTCAAACACATTTTTACACCTAATCCAAAATCAACTGAAACTAAACTCAACTGACCAAGAAGTCAACCTTTATTTCCCACTACCTAAAGCATTTACTTTTGCCACCTCACTCTTGACCAAAAACATATAATGATAAGCAAGAGACCCTGCTCTATCTAGGACAAAACGTTAATTAGACTATATTATCTTTTGACCGAAGTGTAACAGAAAAGGATCATAAGTAGGCTAGAAATTAGAAGCCAAATAACTTGAGGGTAAAAAATGTTGCCAATTTCTAGCCACTATATTGTTATCATTTTCTTTCTGAGTCTAAGTTCTATGCACTAGCAATATAGAAAATATTTACATAATTAGGTCATTTATCTGTACTTAAAAGATAAAACTCTATAATAATTATTACTAATTGGTAGCCTAATTAAAATAAATATCCACTAACTTGATATAGTAGGTTAAACTACACTAATAATGTGGAAAATGTGAACATTGTCTTAACTCCTGTCTATTCTTTAAGTACTTATTATGGAGAAAGTTGAGCAGGTAAAGGATTTGGAAATCTGAGTGCATATGTTAGCTACTTTAAGAATGATCAAATAATTTGACCAGATCATAGGTTAGATGTCAGCAAAACCTAAAGCACTTAGTATCCATATTATAAATTAATGTTCAATCTGAAGTACTTATTACAAGCTTACAAATCATATATACAGAAAATTTCAGTGAATAGAGAAACTTGAGCTAGAGGAATGATGAAGGCGGTATCGATTGAATCTGGAGAAGCATCTAAGGCTATAGGACATCATGGAGTGAACAGAGGATTATCTGTATTTGATCTCATTTTGCGTATTGTTGCAATTGTTGGAACATTGGCAGGTGCTGTGGCAATGGGAACTGCTGAGCAAACTCTTCCTTTTGTCACACAGCTTGTGCAATTCTCGGCTCAATATGATGACTTTGACACATTTAAGTAGGTCCATCTTTGTATATTATGTGAGATATAACAGTACATTTCTTATTTCGATGCATATGTATAAAGAAGGTTAACTCTTTTTTTTTTTTTTGTGGTAAAACAAAGGTTGTTCGTGATTGTGAATGCAATAATCTGTGCCTATCTTGCTCTTTCTCTCCCATTTTCCATCTATCACATTATGAGGAGCAGAGCAGGAAAAAGTCGGATTTTGCTCATCTTCCTAGACGCGGTAATAGATTCTCTTGTTCTTTATCTTATTTTACTATTCCTTCCGTTTCATATTATCTATCATGATTATCTTGTATATATCCCTTGAGAAAAAATAATTAGGATGAGATTTTGACAACTTTACCCTTATTCATGTCTTAATATTTAATCTTTCTTCATCGATATTTGAACAAAGTTATTTATAATTGAGGTGTTTGTAGTTTTCAAAAATAATTATTACTAAGGGTAAAAAAGGAAACAAATAATCAATTTTGTCTTGAACTTCTAAAGTGACAAATAATTTGAGACAACTATTTTTAATAACCACGATTGATAATATGAGATGGAGGGAGTATAACCGATAACTATTTTGTTGGGTTTTTGGCTCAAAATAGTGTGAATGCGAAATGAAGGGAAAAAATGAAATATTTCAATTTTCCTCCTTTACAAAGAACATTGTCCCATATTGGAGGAGGAAAGCTCATTTATCGGGTATATATATATATATATATATATATATATGAATACACTTCTTCTAACTCTTAAAGAGTTGAAAAGAAGTCAAGCCTCGCGCCGTCCTCGTCACTCAGCTTCGGTTTCGGCTTTAAATTTGGTCAAATAATTTGATTGATTAATTTTTTGAACCAAATTACTTGTTAAATTTTAAGACTATATTAATATTTTAAATCCAAATCGACCGTTTGTGTAATTTAATTTTTCCTCCTGTTTTATTTTCCCTTTAAAATTTGAAATTGACGGTTTGCGTAAATATCTTTATTGAGTTACAGCCTTAAACGAAGAGTTGCAATTCATCGGTTTGAACCCAACCAGTTGCCTATAAAAACCAGACCATTCACTCAAATTTTCCTTATGAAAGCTCTGAAATCTCTTCTTCCTTTCTGCATTGTTTTTCTTACAAAAACAAAGTAACTTTGATTCAATGCCGCCATTTGTGTTCGTTGTACATTGGTGTTTGTAGTAATGCTACACCAGTATAGTTTATCCGTTCTATCATGGGAGTAAATAATTCTAAATCTCGGGTACTAGGAGGTGATTAAGTTCTATAAAGAAACACTGTTAATTCAGTGGACTCGGATATCTGCTTCTTCTTTATTTCTGTTTTTCTTTGTTAAAGTTTCCAAAATTTATTTTTCGAATACAGACTATTAACAGATTTAACTTATATATGCAAAAAAAAATTGCAATTTTTTACATTACAGTAGGTTGCTTTATTTATTAAGTAGCTCCACTAATTATGGACAAATGATATTTTAAATGGCCTGGTAATATAAAAGTCCGTTTACAAAAGTGTACACGATTTTCCCCATGAATTGCTAAAGCTATTGAGTAATACTGATATCTATTATATGTCTGACATTTGAAACTTTTGAAGATAATGTTGGTTCTTCTCACATCTGGAGCTTCTGCAGCCGCCGCCATTGTGTATTTAGCACATAATGGGAATTCTTCTGCAAACTGGTTTTCCATTTGCCAACAGTATACAGATTTCTGCCAGCGTTCTGCTGGTTCTCTCATCGGCTCCTTTGGCGCGATGGCGTCTCTTGTTCTCCTTATCATTTTGTCAGCTGTCGCGATATCCAGGCGCTAAACGATGCGTGTTTCCATTGCCTAGCTAGCCTAATTAGTATTTCTATGTCTGTTGTGTTTGGGGTGACCAAAATTTCATGACTTGGATTTTGTATGCATTTCACTGCCTGTAATTTATATCAAAATCGTGAGTTCTACACTGTTTAAGTATGGTTTCATAAATGAACATATTTCTGTTTTCTACCATGTCTTATGCTTCTTCAAGAGATCCATTTTGTATGCATTTCACTACCTGTAATTTATGATCCATACACCTTTTTTGGAGTTCGGATATTGTCATTCAACTAAAAACAAATAATATAAATACCTCAGTGGTGGTAGTACCAAAAGTTAGATGTGTTTAGCGAAGAAAAATTGCAAACTTCCTTGTATCTCTAATAGCAGTAACACATGCTAAGTTGTGCGGACTCTTCGATTTTGGTGCCGTCCCCATCCCGATACGAGACGGGGGTGGGAGCGGGATACGTCCCTGATTCAGTCAACTGACTTCGGACACTTTGACCAGAGTCCATCGAAAAATTTGGAAGAAAAATTGAGATTTTTATTTCTCAAAATAAAAAATAAAACAGATTTAGGAGAATGACAAATAATGTCCATCATGGAGAATGAAAGATTGAATTCTACAATATTCATGTAAGTTTTTCACAGAATATCTCTCAAAATTTACAATATTTTTATAGCTCTATTTTTTATTAGCCGAATCCCCGCACCCGTATTCATATTCGGATCCGTACCCTCAATCTTAAAATTTAGATTTTGCCGAATCCGATACTCGGATCCGTCCCCGTATCGGATACCTGCACCCGAGTCCGAGCAACTTAGAACACGTGTATAATAAAATCTATTAATGAGCTCTTTGTTCTGGTTCCAGAAAACAAATTTATGTTAAGCATATAAATTAGTCCATGAGCCATGACTAAATTGGGCATCATGTACTTCACTGTATGACATGGCATCAATTATAAAAATCGACACAAAAGGGCAAGCGCCATATTCATCTGAAGATATGCCAACCCCCCCCCCCCCCCC